TTTTTTATATATATAAAAAAATATATATATATATATATATATATATATATAAATAAATAAATAAAAATAAAAAACAAATAATGAGCTCGTAAGCCCTCTCATTATTGGTAAATGAATGAATGCTGAGGAAATACAGGAATTAAATTAAAAGGCATGATGTATTCACTACAGTGTGATAGCGTATATGCTAGATAACAAATGTATTCTAAATTTATTCTAGAGGTTCAATAATATAAGAATGATTACCTTTTTTTATTTTTGAGTTGGAGTCTCACTCTGTCACGCAGACTGGAGTGCAGTGGCCGCTCCCAACCACCACAGCCTCGACCTGCTTGGCTCCGATGATCCTTCTGCCTCAGCCTTCCAAGTAGCTGGAATTACAGGCATGCACTACCATGTCCAGCTGATTTTTTGATTTATTGTAGAGATGAGGACTTGCCAAGTTGCCCAGGCGGGTCTCGAACCTGCGGGCTCAGGTAATCCACTCATTTCAGCCTCCCAAAACTCGGGATTACAGGCTGAGCCACCAAGCCTGGCTAAGAATGATTACCTTTTACAGTACTTCCTTCTCGACCTACTTTCAGGTAAGTATCCTACAGAAATAAATGTGAGGATACACAAACAAGGATGTCCATGGGAAACACTAGAGACAACTTAAATGTTCCAGCAATAATGATAACTAAAGTCAGTTAAGTAGCATTCTCTTACCCCACAACTTCACAATAAAAAAAAAAGAAGCGTCCTCTTATGAAATATTATACAGCCTTTAACATAACTAAGTAGGCTATGATTTACCAACATCTAACACTGTTCATAACTGAACAATGAGAGAAAAAATAAAATATTGCATTTCATAAGGCAAGATCTGCAGCTGAGCACGGTGGCTCACGTCTGTAAGCCCAACACTTTGGGAGGCGGAGGTTAGAGGATATATTGTCTGAGCCCAGGGGTTCGAGACCAGTATGGGCAATTTGGTGAAACCTCATCTCTACAATAAATATAAAAATTGGCAGGGCACGGTGGCTCAGCCTGTAATCCCAGCACTTTGGGAAGCCGAGGTGAGAGGATTGCCTGAGTCTGGTGGTTCGAGACCAGACTGGGCAACTTGGTGAGACCTCGTCTCTACAATAAAGCACAAAAATTAGCTGGGTATGGTGGCATGCTCCTGTAGTTCCAGTTACTTGGAAGGCTGAGGCGGAATGACTGCCTAAGTCCAGCAGGTCGCAGGTCAAGTCTGCGGTGGTTGTGAGCATGCCACTGCACTCTAGCCTTGGTGACACAGTGAGACTCCGACTCAAAAAACAAACAAAAAAGCGGTACGACCAGTAAAAATGAAAATTATGCCATGTAGCAACACAAAACACTTTTCTTCATTCACTTAATTTAAAATAAGCTCAAAAGTATGTATACTATTCTTTTTTTTTTTTTTTTGAGTTGGAGTCTCACTCTGTCCCCCAGACTGGAG